GTGATTGTTTGCGTTATTTATTCAACGTTAATATCTGAATTTATACCTGGTTTTTGTTGATCGGTAGCAATAACAATTTTATTATTATAACCTATCACTTGACCGATCTTAAGTTCCATATTACTCGGAGACATGTATAGTCCCGGCGCATAAACGTAGTCCACTTTGGATTGAGCGTACTGTAATACATCTTGATAACGCTTTATAGACGATGGTATGTCAACTGGTGAATTAATGGCGTCCTCCACGTTTACGACAAACTGTTTTTGCGCTTCGAGCGCCGTACCAGTACCGATAATGGACGTTCGTGTTTGCGATTGTGCACCGAGAATTGCCCATACATAAGTTCTTATTGATTTATTAACTCTTACAAATCCTGGGTTAGTAAAATTATTTTCCGTTTTATCATTAAGAAATTCATTCCAAGCGTTTGCGGTATCGTTCAGTTGTATAAATTTTGTAACAATATAAATTTAACAACTCTTAAAACTCATAATATCCCCTCTCCAATCGTTACTCGAAAGTTCCCAGGCTTTATACCAATGATGGATTTTTATAAAATAATCATACATTCTTATGTAAAGTTTGCTGGTATACAACAAATTAATCGCATTAAATGGTTCTTTTTTATTAACTTCTTTAAATAAATCATCGCTTTCTTCTTTGACGGTTATTTCCCCTGTGTAAGGAGCACCTAGACCATGGTTTGCTCCTTTAATACGCCAATTTTTACTCGTAGAAATATTAATACCGGACAAATACGCTCATACGCGAACCTATTGTAAGGATTATTTGTGGAATTCCATGCTCGATCCTGCGGTAATGGAGCACTAATTTCTTTAAGTATACGTCTTATCTGATAGTATACGTGAAATGCTAAAACAGACTTATTCAGTTCAAATCCTGGAGCATAAAGAGATACACCACATCCCGTTGTGGCACACCATATGGCAAAGTTTAACTGATTCTGCCAAAATTGCATCGGATTGTGAAACCAATCGTGCACCATTTTATCGCTAGTTGCCGTGACCCTGTACTTTTCAAAGATATCAGGGAATTTAACGAAAAAATCAGCACCAGAGGCAGTTACTAAAATCGGCTGATTAGTAATGTATCTCGATTTCATATTTAAATTATGATATAGTATCATTGTATATTTAATATGTATGTCACACTCAATAACAAATGGTCAGTCTATTCAACTGCTTCATACTATCGATAACTCGGATGGTCAACTCGAAGTCGCTCTATGCGATGTAACGTATTACCCGCGGTGGACCAATATAAGTGCTTCAAGATATAATAATGAGACAGTAATATATAGTAAAAAACACATTATACCTGATGGGTATTACAGCGTATGCTCACTCAATGATGAATTTTTAAAGCCTAATGGAATTAGTCTCACACAAAATGAGTCGAATGGGATGCTGATTTTAAACGCTGGAGAAAAGGATGTAAAGCTTTACGAGACCTTAGCATACACACTTGAATGGAGAGGAGATATAACAGTACTCAAGACATCAGATCAGGGACGTGATTTACCCGATTTAGTTCCCTATAAAGAGTTGTGCATCCATCTTGATCAAATAAGTACGACGGATAATGTTCAACTAGAAAGTCCTTCAACTCTGCTCAGATCTATTACAGTCAAAGATGAAAAATATAATAGCGGTAGAACGGACTCTTTCTCAACATTACAATATAAAAAATTAAAGCGGGGTATTATTTCAGACCTCAAAAAAAATGTATTAGATGTAAAACACCAACCTGTACATATAGGATACTTAAGTGTAACACTCCATATTATAAATGATGGTTGATTCCAAATTTAAGCTATGATATAGTATCATTGTATATTTAATATGTATGTTACACTCCCTGGAATAACAAATGGTCAGTCTATTCAACTGCTTCATACTATTGATAATTCAGATGGTCAACTCGAAGTCGCTCTATGCGATGTAACGTATTACCCGCGGTGGACCAATATAAGTGCTTCAAGATATAATAATATGTTTGTATTAAGTGTTGGCGGGTCCATTACTATACCTGATGGGTATTACAGCGTATGCTCCCTCAATGATGAAATTTTTAAGCCTATTGGAGTTAGTCTCACACAAAATGAGTCGAATGGGATGCTGAAATTAGACACTGGAGAAAAGGCAATACATTTTGGAGGGTTCTTAGCAGTTACACTTGGGTTTGCACACGGAGATATAACATTCGACAATACATCAGATCAGGGAGTTACACTACCCGATTTAGTTCCCTATAAAGAGTTGTGCATCCATCTTGATCAAATAAGTACGACGGAAAATATTCAACTAGAAAGTCCTTCAACTCTGCTCAGATCTATTCCAATGAAAGATGTAAAATACAATAGCGGTAGAACGGACTCTTTCTCAACATTACAATATAAAAAATTAAAGCGGGGTATTATTTCAGACCTCAAAATTTCTGTATTAGATGTAAAACACCAACCTGTACATATAGGATGCTTAAGCGTAACACTCCATATTATAAATAATGGTTGATTCATCAGGCCCTGGAACGCTCAGACAATGTAATACAATTGCGCTTTCCGATCTCGGAGACATAGAAGGATTCGGTAGACCCGGTACCGATGGTAAGTTATACGCTTTACACTTACAAGATAATGTATACAAGCGGAAAGAAGTTACATTCATGGGTAATCTAGAAGATTTAAGCGATGTCGACGTTAGTAGACTCCTTAAAAACACTTCGTACAATATTACTCGCAACGACGATAAAAAATGGACTATGGTCGACGCTAAAATCGAGTGGCTATTGAATATCGTCATTACCCCACCGTATGTGATGATGGGTAAGGCACATAATTTAACTAAGATAATAAATAGTGGCATCGTACTCGCGGCTTATATCCCATCAAAACGAAAAAGTGTGCACCGGAAAATGCCTTCGAAATATTACCAGGACTATCTATTAAATGGCAAATGAAACACGAGCGTCAACGTTGCAGCATTATTCATATTGGAGCATCACCTGTTGCAACCCTCGAGGGGGTCCAAATTATTAAAAGTGACAGCATTTCTTTTTCTAAGATATTCTTGCCGTATAATATTCATTTGATAAGGTTGATGTATACTCTCAAAACATTTAAGCAAGATCAATTAAAGACTATTATATGACCGTAATATACACTATGAGTTTATATCCGGCGCTCGATGAAGTATTTGAAAAGATGGATACTGTTGATGGATTTCGATTACATCAAATAAGCGACATAAAACATCGAATAGAGAAGGAGAGGGAGTTGAGTCTTGGATTGTATAAAAAGTATAGCAGAGCCGTGAATGCTCTGGACGGAGTTGACACCGCGCTTGTAATAGCTGGCATGGGACTCGGTGTAGCAGGTGTTGGTTTATTATCAACTATAATCGCCGCGCCTATCGTGCTCGGCATGGAAATAGCGGCCGGAGTCTCAGGACTGGCAGAAATAACAATAAAATTCATTTCTCGTAGGTTGCAAAAGAAAGCATTAAAACACGATAAGATTCGGATACTCGCCGAAGCAAAGTTGTACAGCATTGAGGATCAAATTTCGACACCAATGGCTGATTGTAAGATATCCGAGGAGGAGTTTCGTTTAGTGCTGTCAGAACTCACCAAATACAACGCAATGAAGCAGGAGATTCGATCAAAATCTCGTAAGACCAGTGGTATTATCGAAGACGAGAAAAAAAAATTATAGAACAGGGGAGACAACAAGCGCGTCAATTATTCCGTGCCAAAACAAAAGAACTGGTTGGAGATTAAAAATAGATTGCTTACTATCATTAGATCACATTTAGACAAATGCTTACATAAATATATAATAATGGAGAATTACAACCTTTATGTTCATGGACAAAATTATTATATCAGTAATGTCAAACCAACAAATGAAGAACACAAAACATTTATGTTCATAGACAAAATTATCAAATTGAGAGAATTACCACAAGGTATATATTATATCAGTAAACCCAACACATACGATCATCAATTACCAATAGTCTCCAGGTGGTGGTGAGCTAGAGTCAATTTAGTTTAATCTCATGACTATCGTTGAATCCCATAGTCATTTACACATAACAAATGCCACCTGTAGTAGCAGTATAGGTATATAAATCCGGCTCCAGTGGGGTTGCGGCAGAACCATCATTACCTATACTACTACACTGTTAGTTACTATCACGCAATATATCAACACTGTTAGCTATGTAGTAGCACCTGATTGTCGGGGTGGTAAACACAACAAACGGCTACAGGGTGTGAGCTGATGGGAAGAGAGAGGTGAATAAATACGGCCTGCAACAATGTATAAATAATAAGACATACTGCACAAAAGACATAGAACATTGACATTGTTATAATAAACATAATGGCCTTAAATCTAATGGACATTCAATTATATGAACTTAAAATAGCGGGAAACCTATGTTACTCACGTAGTAAGAAACCTGCACAATGATACAATGAAACCTGTGCCGTGTCACCAAGGCTTCTAAGATAGTGCCAGTTACATCTGCATTGACAAAGTATAAACTAATGTAGATACTATTTATACTATAAGTATACACAACAAGAAAGTAAAATAGGTATTTAAAATAAGGATTGATCAAATTACTTAAATAATGCACTTTCACACATATCTTTCTTATACACAATTAACACAATTACCTTAATGTGATGTGAGGTATAGAATAACTATGAGTTTTTTTCGGGTTTAGATTTACTTAGTTAATGTTCAAGTTAAGATGATAATAGCCTAGGATAAATTAGCTATTTATCACTTAAAGAAACTGTTAATAATACTTTATCATATAACATAATCGTAACCAGAATACACTGAACTGTGAATTCAATACACAACCTGATTAGCAATAAACCAAGCACAACTTATTTCTAACTTTAAGAATTAGAAATACACAAATACATATAAAGCATCACACAAGAAATATACAACGACTAACCTTCAAATCCATGAAATTATCACATCCATTGGATCCATGAATAAAATTATGAACACGAGATCCATCCCAAAAATACACAAAATGACTGATATATATACGTCAAGTGTAATCTGGCAACTGCCCCAGATCATTAGAAACAAAGGTATACCTGTGGTCAGCTGTGAGTGACCACAGAGAACAATAGAGTAGTCTAAGCGCGGGGTGGGATACTAAGTGCTTTGGGTGAAAAGCATGCAGTGGTATGGTTAGTCAAGGCTGGATAAATGTTTGTCCTTTCCTGCGACGTGGTCTTGGAGTTGGAATTGGTTTGTCTGGCTTGTCTGGCTCATCTGTCCTTGGCAAAGATCCTATAGGAAGAAGGTGATTCCCGTGCAGAGTACGTGTTCTGCCTTCTTCGTTTTCCTTCTGCACAACAAACACTGGAATGCCCATGTTTGGCTGAGAAATAACGATGTAAGGGTCCTCCTCCCATTTGTCTCACGTGGGATTTCCAATCCTTCTTCTGGCTTGGTTGCAGAGTACCAAGCATGTCAAGCAGTGTCCGGTTAAACCTTTCTGTCATGCCATTCCCCATTGGATGGTACGGTGTGGTCCTTGACTTAGATATGCCTAGAATGTCACAAACCTCCTTCATAAGTCTACTTTCAAAGTTTGCACCCTGGTCACTGTGGATCCGCATGGGCATCCCATAATGCATTACGAAATTGTTGTAGAACGCCTCTGCTGTTGTCTTGGCAGTTAAGTTCCGAGTAGGTATTGCCTGGACGTATCGTGTGAAGTTGTCAGTTATCACAAGCAGATGTTGGTATCCTCCCATTGAAGTCTCCAGAGTAAGGAAGTCCATACAGACTAATTCCAAAGGCTGGGTACTGGTGATATTAACGAGAGGAGCACGTGCATTTGTTGGTGTCTTCCTTTTCATTCATGAGCCGTTGGTATGTCGCCGGGCTGTTGAATTTCCTTGTCTGTTACGCTTGCTTCCTTTAAGTCCTTAAGATTCATGATATCCGAGTCCTTACTTGGAGTAAAAAGGTTGAATCTCTGGTACATTATCTGTGCTAACAACTTGTAGTTCGCATAAGAGAGCACGACTTGGAATGGAAACAGAATGAGCTGTGAGGTTTGATACATGTATGTCCACAAACATCGTCTGTCCTCTTCCATCATATGATACTAAAATTGGTTCAATGTCAAGGTCGTCTGGGATGACTGATCCTCTTGTAGGCTGAATTATGGCGCAAGTGAATCTGTAAGATAGGGGCTGTATCACATGTCCACGAATAACAATTTCAGAATTAGATAGAATTATATTGCGACCTGGCTCTGAACTTCTAATTCGTCCTATGGAGTAATTGTTCTTGACAAGTTCTCTCTCCTGAAGGGACAAAGAACGAAGGGCCAAATACCAAGGAGTATGGAGGTCTGTTTTCTGAAGGAATCTTTCCCCGAACTCCTTCTTGCACTGGAGCAGGTAGACAGAGAGAACGTTGGTACCTAGAGTTATTGGAACTGTCTGGTTGTAACAACTGTCAGGAATTACAAGAAGTAAACATTGGACTTTAGATAGAGCACTTCCCGTTCCCTGAATTTCCACAACAATGTACCCACTATACTGTAAAAACTCTCCATCTGCACACTCGATGTTAAGGATGTGTTTAAGTGGCTCAATAGGAATCTCACTGAAATTTTGTTGGTAGTAAGACTCGAAAATAGAAGAAATGGTCGATCCTGTGTTAAGTAAAGCCCTGGAACTAACACCATTGACCATGATCTCAGTAGGCTTACCAACTAACTCTGCAACCAACTGCTGTTGAGTGCTGACATGCTGTGTGTCTAGGCCAATGGTCCGCCCCTCCCCATAGGCCGATTGAAGTTTAAAAGACCATTGTCTATCCTGGTTCTACATCCTCTCCTAATGTGGTCAGGTTGTCCGCATCGGTAACAAACCAGAATATCAGAAAAAGTCTGTGGTCCTTGAAATCTATGTTGGCCACCACGTCCAAACTGCGGATTTTCTCTTGGCTGTTGTGGACGTATCCACTGTCGAGGGGGCATCTGCCATTGCTGACCTCGACCTGACTGCCATGACTGACCTTGACCATGGTTATACCTTGCTGCTCCTGTCTTTGCCTGTGTAGAGTCTGATTCCTTGGCGTCCTTATTCTGTTTCTTGAGAGCAGCAATCTCTGTTGACATGGACTTCAGGATTCCACGGATCTCTTTAAGCTCTGAATCCTGAGTGAATGTGGCCCTACTTGTGGCATCAGGCTTCTTCTTAGACACTGGGTTCCTCTCCTTTAAGTTGACTTCCAACTGCCTGAGGTAACGAAGGAAGTCTTCAAATGAGCCACCTTGATCAAACTTGTGACTTGTGAGGTCCCTCAGTTGTGATCTTAGTCCAGCCCACAAGGTAGTCCTAAGTAAATCTTCTGTTTGTCCAGGCTGTACTTTTCCAAGTGTGACTCCTTGGCTCAAGATATCCTCTAGTCGGCATGACCACTCTGCTACACTTTCTTCATCCCCCTGCTTGGCTGTGTAAAACTGTGACATAATGTTGTGTTCCGTGTGAACATCACCAAACACGCAAGTAAGCTTGGAGATGAGTGTCTCCAATGGGGCATCCTTGTCTACATGCATAGCCACTCTAGCAGCCCTACCACGTAACGAGCGCCGAACAGCTTTAGCAATGATCTTTGAAGAGTAACGACTAGACATACAAGTATACTCGTGTCTCCATTGATCGAAATCGGCATCCCCTTTCCTGTCACCAGAAAAGTATGGAAGCTGTGGAGTATGGGCCAGGGTGACAGTAGTAGGCACGAAAGAACCCTCTGAACCTGATCACACAGAAAAGAAACTACACAATAAGCTAAATGAATATGTTTAACTACACACACGTGTGAAATCAAAGTGCAATGATGTCACGCAGTGTAGGAATTCTACGGTAATATACCCATTACATGTGTATTATAGGAAATAATTGGCAAGGTCAATGGAATTGCTATGTAATCTAAGTATGTAGACATGTAGTGTAAAGGTACCCCGCGAGCTACTTACTAAAGCTTGTCTTCAATACATGCTAATGATGACTTACCACATCAAGTAATACTTTCTAAGTATTAGAATGCAATGTGCATCAGTGTAGAGTGTACTATGGCGCGCGCAGATAGTGGACAAAATACACAACTGATCCTACATGATTAAGCAAAGACAATGAACCTTAGCTGCACGATGTTGACCGAGTTCAAAACTAAATGAACACCAATTGCAAACCAACACCAAAGACATTACTAGAAAAGCAAGCAACAATTCCCTGAATGTAGCAATCTAACAAGACAACAACTGCTAATGAACTACATGTAGTGAGCTAACCTCACAATTAACCTACAACTCTATTTAGGAATTAAAGTAATAGCTATATGGTTTATGTTAGTTAAGTAGTTGATTTTACTAACTACCTATCCACAAACACACACAGACCAATCATACAGTACTTAGATACTAAACAAAAATAGATGAGGCATAAGACTGGCATGAATAATAGGTATGGTCGGAGCGCTCCTGAAAATGGCCATAGTATAATACATGTATATAGCAAACAAAATATGCATAAACACACAGATTATAGGACAGATTTTAATCATACACATCCAACACAAATGTAGCATGAATCATACATGCAATTCATTGCATGGCTAAACATGCAAGTGAGAAGTCATTTCTGAAGACAACATGTCAAATATGACACATGACAAGAACAGCATAGCATTGTCATCACAACAAAAGAATACAGAAATACGACATGCTATTCATAAGAGACAAGTTAAGCAATATCCAGAAGTTTCTTTCAGTGAATATACAATTTCACACACTCGCAGTTTTGAGTTCAACTTGGCTGCGTTTATAAAGTTTATGATAATAAATTGTTAATTACTTTCACTGCTGGATCCATGCACAAACACACACTATGTGTCACAATTATCACAAGTGTAGAGTGTCATGATCATGATCAATTCACAAATACTCAACGTTGAGTAAGAGTACATATACTCTTCAAAAAAAGAAACTTGACACTGACTTTCAAAATGTAATATAATGCGATTGTTTCAAAATAGGACACAGAAACAATAATTGAAACACTGTTTGAAGATCAATGTTCACAATGTTCAAAACATTAATCGTGTCACCTGGACAGACACACGTACACGATACAGTTAATGTCACAGGGGTACAGAAAATGTCAGTATCGGCTGTGCCCACCACGTTCATCAATCACCGCTTGACACCGACGACCAATAGATGCAATTAAGTTGTCAATAACACGCTGTTGGATGTGCTGCCATTCATGCTGAAGTTCATTAAGAAGCGCCGGAAGAGTTTGGGGCGGTGGATTCCTTCTGCGAACGCGTCGATCCAACTCGTCCCACAGATGCTCAATCGGGGACAAATCTGGTTACCGGGCTGGCCATGGTAATGTCTGGATGTTGTTGTGCTGTAAGAAGTCCTGACAAACACGTGCAATATGCGGTCGAGCGTTGTCCTGCAGGAACTGTCCGCCATGAACGTTGACGTGAGGAAGAGCGTAAGGCTGTAGGATCAAGTCTCTGTAACGCACACCTGTCAATGCACCTGCCACATGCACGAGACGCGTCCTACCACCGTGATGAATTCCGGCCCATACCATGACACTCCCGCCGCCAAATGGGACAACCTGCTGCACACTGTTGGGAGGCGTAACGTTCACCCCGACGTCTGTAGACACGTGCGCGCCCATCAGCACGTGTGAGTAGGAAACGGGACTCGTCAGTAAACAGTACATTTCTCCACCTTGCACGTGCCCATCTAACCCTCTGTTGGCACCAAAGCAGACGGACCGCCAGATGACGTGGGGTCAATACATGACGTCGAACAGGTCTTCGTGGAAAAAGTCCAGCCTCCCTCAGTCTGTTGCGTACCGTTTGATCTGATATTCTGCGTACCCCTGGGACCTGTGTGGTTGTAGACGTGGCTTGGGTAGTGCGGTCTCGGAGGTGTCGCAGCCGGATGTATCGATCTTGTGCTTGGGTTGTCACCTTTGGTCTTCCTGACCTTGGTCTGTCGTCAACTCTGCTGGAGTTGTTGTATCGGGTCCACAGTGCGGAGATTGTCTGTCTTGATACGCCAAAGTGCCTGGCCACTTCTTGCTGAGTTGCTCCAGCTTGTAATCTCCCAATGTTGTTGTTCCGTTGAGCTGCATTCAGTCTTGGCATTCTGTTACCGCCTGTTTGCATGTGTTTTGGCGAATTATAGACACATCATCTTTCTGTCTTTCTGTTTGACTTATTTGGTTCTCATTTAATGTAATTATTTTAGATATTTGGCAAAAAGTGGTTTTACATCTATGTCAAATTTCTTTTTTTGAAGAGTATATGCTTACAATAATAATAATATCCAATGTCTCATCAACACTTAAGTCACATGTAATCACATATCTACCGTTCTGGTGTCAACAAACATCGCAGATCATATGACGTCATAATGGCGGATCGATCATTAAGTGTGACGTCACATAACGCAGTGGTTGGTCTCATGTGAACATCAGTTTCCTCATGGTCCCATCAAATCCTCACTGGGGGCTCCAATGTAGTAGCACCTGATTGTCCGTGTGGTAGACAACAACAAACGGCAACAGGGTGTGAGCTGATGGCTGTTTATTCTCTCAGAAGAGAAAGGTGAATAAATACGGCCTGCAACAATGTATAAATAATAAGACATACTGCACATAAGACATAGCACATTATATGAACTTAAAATAGCGGGAAACCTATATTACTCACGTAGTAAGAAACCTGCACAATGATACAGTAATATATATAATATGCTTATGACGACGCGATAATCAATTTATACTAAACATAAACCCTGTCTACTGTTGTAACACTAGACAAGTACAATACTACATGATAATTACAAAGATATACGACGTCAGCATATATATAGATACATACATTTATACATTCATGAATAACACATAAACAATACATACCAGATTGGTGAAACCTGTGCCGTGTCACCAAGGCTTCTAAGATAGTGCCAGTTACATCTGCATTGACAAAGTATAAACTAATGCAGATACTATTTACACTATAAGTATACACAACACAAAAGTAAAATAGGTATTTAAAATAAGGATTGATCAAATTACTTAAATAATGCACTTTCACACATATCTTTCTTATACACAATTAACACAATTACCTTAATGTGATATGAGGTATAGAATTACTATGAGTTTATTTAGGGTTTAGATTTACTTAGTTCATGTACAAGTTAAGATGATAATAGCCTAGGAAAAATAAGCTATTTATCACTTTAAAAAAATGTTTATAATACTTTATCATATAAAATAATCGTAGCAGAATACACTGAACTGTGAATTCAATACACAACCTGATTAGCAATAAACCAAGCACAACTTATTTCTAACTTTAAGAATTAGAAATACACAAATACATATAAAGCATCACACAAGAAATATACAACGACTAACCTTCAAATCCATGAAATTATCACATCCATTGGATCCATGAATAAAATTATGAACACGAGATCCATCCCAAAAATACACAAAATGACTGATGTATATACGTCAAGTGTAATCTGGCAACTGCCCCAGATCATTAGAAACAAAGGTATACCTGTGGTCAGCTTTGAGTGACCACAGAGAACAATAGAGTAGTCTAAGCGCGGGGTGGGATACTAAGTGCTTTGGGTGAAAAGCATGCAGTGGTATGGTTAGTCAAGGCTGGATAAATAATAGACTGAATGAAACAGATAAGCTATGGTATTAATGTTTAATTTGAAATACAATTATATGGCAAAAGTATGACATAGTAAATAAACTATGTACTTAATTCAAATCTGAAAGAGAATGTGTATAAAACTATAGCTAAAATAAAATTAAAACCTAACTTGTATGTATAAAATATTAATCTGCCAAAGCTACTATCACACAATATATCAAACGCTGTTAGTTACTATCACACAATATATCAACACTGCTAGTTACCATCACATTATATGTCAACACTGTTAGTTGCTATCATGCAATATATCAACACTGTTAGTTACTATGACATGATATATCAACACTGTTAGTTACTATGACATAATATATCAACACTGTTAGTTACTATCACACAATATATCAGCACTGCCAGTTACTATCACACAATATATCAACACTGCCAGTTACTATCACACAATATATCAACACTGTTAGTTACTATCACACAATATATCGACACTGTTACACACTTTATCATTATATATCAACACTGTTAGTTACTATCACGCAATAAATCAACACTGTTAGTTACTATCACGCAATATATCAACACTGCTAGTTACTTTCACACAAGATATCAATACTGTTAGTTACTATCACACAATATATCAACACTGTCAGTTACTATCACACAATATATCAACACTGCCAGTTACTATCACACAATATATCAACACTGCCAGTTACTATCACGCAATATATCAACACTGTTAGTTACTACCACACACTATATCAACACTGCCAGTTACTATCACACAATATATCAACACTGTCAGTTACTATCACACAATATATAAACACTGTTTGTTACCATCACACAATATATCAACACTGTCAGTTACTATCACACAATATATCAACACTGCTTACTATCACATGATATATCAACACCGCTTGTGACTTTTGAACAATATATCAACACTGCTAGTTACTATCACACAATATATCAACACTGCCAGTTACTATCACACAATATATCAACACTGCCAGTTACTATCACACAATATATCAACACTGCCAGTTACTATCACACAATATATC